CTACTTTTCGAAATCATCTATATATTTTCCAATTTTAATTATTTATCATTGCCATCAGTGCCTTTCAAGTGAAGTAGAATCTTTTAGATTCGCGGATTAATTCTTTTACGTATTTATATCGCAAAAGAGAATAATTACATTTCAAAATATTCTGCATTTAATATAAACGTAAAACAATATTTTAAAGGTAATAAAAAAAATATGACGTGCATATAAAAAAGGGGCAATTTCAATAAATAAAATTACATTCTGTAAAATTTAATTACGACGCCCGATACATTAAAAAACGTGGAAAATCACCGTTCTATCAAAAAATTTAAAATTTTTATAAACAAAACATTTTCAACCGTATGACAATTATTCAATTTATAAATATGGAAATGATACCATCGTAAAAGAGGGCAAATATAACAAATGAACCAATCCTTTTTTCCCAATTAATAATATAATAATAAATTACAACAGCAACTCGCGACAGCGTTTAATTTAATCCACGCGTACATCAGATCCAATTTGTTGTTGTCCAATTCCTTCAACGCGGCAAATGGTAACGTGTAACCTTAATAAACCACAGCACGAACAACATCCTAAAACGTCGTACATCCCCAACCAACACACCCTCTCCCAATCAACGTATTAAACCTTCTCCGGTTTCCTTGGGGGGGGCATCGACTTATCCACGCCGCGGATGAAGGATTATCAAGCGTCCGGATGCCCGTGAGAATCTCCTCGCAGCTCTCGCAACATAATACGTTCTTTTGTAAGCTGCCTGATCCCGGCCTTATCATCAGTGGCTCTAGGTTACCCCGTGTCCGAGGTGGAGGAACGCCTCGTGTAACTTTCTGATCTCTTCTCGTCTCGCCCACTTCGCGCTATGATAGATGGCCCATTCTTCACCATCCTCCTCCCCCTCCCTTTGTTTCTCTTTGTTTTCTTCCTCCTTCCCCAGTTCCTGCCGAGGAAAAAGAAAAAGGAGAGAGAGGGGTGAGACGATTTTTACGACTATCGGCCAGATCGACACGGTAGCCGTAAACTTCGATCGACACGGAAGCCATGTCCACGTTTCGATCGATGATAATTCGGTTCGATGACTTCTTTCTTTTCCTCCTCTTTTTCTTCCGATTCTTCTTAGACCAGGTGCTGGACTTGGGACGAGGTGATTAAGATTCAGGATCGGGAAGTATGCGGGAGGGGGGAAGTGGACCTTCGTGTTTAATCTTTGGATCGCATTCCTTTAGCCCGGTGCTCGATCTTCTTGCTTGGCTAGCTAGCGGCTCGCTGCTCCTTTGATCGGGAATCGTGTTTGTGATGCATGAATCTTTGGGACGGGGGGATGTTGATTTTAGATAAGAGCGGATTGCGGTAAATTATTTTGATCAATTTTCTCGTGGTCATGTCCCTCTCTCTTTGATACTTTTTGTCAATTAATTTTACGCGTAAATATTCGTTGTTTCATCGACCAGTGTAATATATCGTTTCGAGTATTATACTATTCGAGTGGCATCCGTTAATTTCTGTACTAAGAAATATCATAATCGTTGAAACGGCCTGTACTTTCGAAAGATATCATCTTCTCGTGAATATATATTTATAAATGATGCATATATATGCGTGTTAATGAAGATACTGATTGAATGAAACGAAATGAATATGTAAGAGATATAATACAAAAAGAATAAAAAACACGTGGCTTAATGGCATTGCATTAACATTAAAATATTCGCAGCTACAGACCGGTTTGATGAATAAGATTCATCTGATATTTTCGTATATCGTATTTCGAAACGATATAATTTATGCCGTGTCTTAGAAATATTCCATACGATTAATTAATAACAATTGATCAACGACGAACAAAAATTCTTATATATATATATATATATTAATAACATTATTCACGTTCAACTCGTTATTATCCTCATTTTTAAGCACAGTCTGTCCAAAGTCAAAAGAATTTATGAATTTGTAAAAAATGAATTTTTCAAAAAATTCCACGAAATACAACGAACGAAACATAACCGGTATTAACTACTTCTGGAGGAAAAATCTGTTCCATTTTCCGCGTACAATGGAGACACCATTCGTAACATCGTTTCTGGGAATGCAAAAAAGAATTCGAGAAGTCGTTTCCCCCAAAAATGGGACGCTGCCAGTGCTCGATGGATGTAACTTCCGTTCGCTTTTTCCTCTTCCACCCCCTTTACCCTCCTCTTGCTATTCTGTTTTTTAAAGTAGAGGAAGCGGAAACGGAACGATCGCCCTTAAAAAAAAAAAAGGATTAAAACAAAGGAAGGGGAAAAAATAGATTTAAATCCAGAACGGAAAAGTCATGCGTGTTCAATATGGGGGGTTGTTGAGAGGGAGAGGAAGCTTGCGTGGAGGGTTTCACAAACTGAATTCGCACAATACTTCCGCCTGTGTATAGAATGTTCGATAATAGTTGGTAGAGGCAAATAAATAGAAGAAGAAGAAAAAAAAAGAATCGACATTTTTTTGTTAAAATTTTGTTTTTTAAGTAAAAAACCGAGAATTGAGATTTTCAACTAGAAGAAAATTTAATCGATCTTCAAACGAATACGAATGAATTATTTCGAAGTGAAATTTTGTTGTTTTTAAGTAAAATATGCGTTTTATATTTATATAATTAAAAAGTAACGAGTTACTTGTCCATTGAACGAATCTTCAATTTTAATTTTAAATTACATATTTATTTCTATATTTTGTCGATCATATATATATTCGACAAATTTTCAAACTCGCTTTTTCTCGAAAAAGAACACTTGGATGAAAAAAAAAAAAAATTATTCTCCTTTTTCATTTTTACACATTTTTATAGAATTACCCTCTACCTGCTTGTCTCGCCTATTCTGGAACACTTTGTTGTACGTGGAATGTAGGCCATTATCTGAAAAGTTTATGCGATAACCTCCGGTGTTGTTCGCGGCAATGACGTGAAATAAATCTCCGTGTGCGGATACATTTTTCCATTTTTGCATATCTTTTGATCAAATTTATTATTAAATAAATTCGTCACCGTGGAACGTATCTGTCAACGAATTGTAAAATGCGAGTCGTGATACGATTTTGTTATATTTATATCGAAACCACGATATCGACTTTTCGAAGGAAGGAACGAAGGCACGCTCGAACAGGGGGGGAAGCAGTGGAGAAGATGTTTTTTATTTCGACTCTTTTCTTCTTTTTTTTTTTTTTTTTTCTAACAAAGTTTATTTGCTCCCCTCTCATCAAAGGATCCATTGTTTGTTCCAGTTTATGTGTCATTGAGCAATACTTTTATTCTCGAGATTTTATAATTAAAACCCGAGGCAGTCAAATGGAAAATTTTATTTTTTATTCCTTCTCGGACGAAACTTCTGAAATATTTATTTTTGGGCGA